CCGTGAGGGATTTTTGGGTAATTTTTGTTATATGATTGTTTGCCAAGAGATTTCCAAATTGCAGGTTGTTGCGAGAGCTTTTTGGACAATTGAGTTCAATGAATCGAATTGGGTTCTGTCGAACTTCAATCTTGAAAATGGAAAGAAATGAATCGAGCTGGGTTTGTCAAGCTTCAATCTTGAAAATGGAAAGAACACCCTGTCGAACTTCAATCTTGAAAATGGAAAAAACACCGGAAAGAATAGAAATAGTAACCGATGGCCAAAGGAGCAATTGTTAGTGGTGATGTGGGACCCATTTCCATGGATTTGGTGCGTTTTTGCCAGGTAGCATGTGACATGGCAAAAATTTTATGCATGTCATCACTTTTTTAAGTTTTGCTCTCCATGTCATCAAAAAAAATATAAAAAATGCCACCTAAGCAAGGTTAACGGCTCAAATTAACGGAAGGACTAACGGAGTGCATTTTGTATAGTTGAGGGATCAAAAAAGTGCAAAAAATTGTTGAGGGACCAAAAATGTTCATTTCTTAAAGTTGAGGGACCAAATTAAGCATTTAACCTTCTCTTTTACCACTCAATTTGTTGAACCTTATGCATAAAAGGGAGCCTATATCTATATCCTAACTCCATTCATCAAGAAAGGTTACATTTTCTTGACCTAGGATTTTGATTTTCCACTACTTGATGATGCTACCAAAATGTTTAACGGGTAGTGGCTGCAAACCATATATTACAACATCAATATGCTTAATAAACCACCATGGATGTCATCACAATTTATAGCAACTCCAAATCAGCAGATACTCAAGAAATTGACACCGCTTGTGATAACCACAAAAAGGAACCTGTTTAGAGTGCTAGTTGTCTGTGACACTTCTTCTAAATCCTATTTTTGATTTTTTGTGGGTGGGCATTGATGGATGCAGAGGATTTGGGGGGAAAATCTGAACTTGGCCGTTCTGACAATGATGATGTCACTATTGTATGGTGTTGACTCAATGTACTCCAAGAAGGGGGGTGAATTGGAGTTGAAAATTTTTTACCTTTTTGCAACCACTAAACAAAAATCAAAGAGAGAATAAGGAAGAAGAGCTTGCACAATGATTTTATAGAGGTTCGGTCCAACCACTTGGAACTTAGTCCTCTACCTTTGCTTCACTCACCAAGGATTTCTTCCTCACTCACCAAGGATTTCCTCCACACTCTCCACTAACAAAATCAAGGGTGGCTTAAAGGAGCCACTCAATTCTTTTACAAGAAGAAGGGTGTTTCTCTCAAATCTCACCCCTTTACAAGATAAACCCCAAGAATCCTCTCTATAGATCACTCTTGAAGGATTAATCACACCTCCAAGATCACTCACAAATAGAACAAGAAGAGCATTACAAGCAAAGATCTCTCAAAGATTAAAAACTCAAGATAAAGCTCATGTAGGTAGGTAAAGATATTCAATGCAATGCTCTCTCAACTTGCTTCAGATCTTCTACCAACCATATTTATAACCCCATGGTCAAAAATAGCCGTTACTAGCCGTTGGGGGTCATTTAATGCTCTGCAGAT